AGTCAACTAGCGTTGCTAGTGTCTTATGTTCACTTTGGGGTGAACTCCAGAGAATGGAAGAGGAACACCTACACAAAGTTTTCACTGACAATGGATACCCAAGAAGTTTCGTCCGCAGATGCCTACAAAACAAATGATAGTCAGAGGACACATTACAACAGAAGATACTAGCAACGCTACCCTATGTCAAAAATGTATCACAAATGACTACCAGACTCCTAAGACCGCATAAGATCATGATTGCACACAAACCTACAGCAACACTGTGCCAAATGTTATCAAAGACTAAAGACCCCATACCGACAGTAAACAAGACCAATGTGAGTACCATACAGCGAGTGCAATAAACATTAAGTTGGACAAACAGGGAGAAACTGACGACCAGGATACACGAACACCAGCTGGCAGTAAAAAGACATGACCAATATTCACTTGTCTCAATACACACAGGCAATGAGGGCCATCAGTTCAACTGGGACAGAGCGACCATACTAGGACGAGCAAACATCAGACATGCAAGGGAATTTCTGGAAGCCTGGTTCTCAACATGGGACTCCATTAACAAACACATAGAAATAGACCCTGTATACAGACCGCTGCTAAAACAACAGAACCGGAAGCTACAAGACCATCACATCAGAGGGTCATATAAATCAGGAAGGAAGCAGAACACCAACGCTTCGATTAGAGGTCACACTGATGATGCCTAGAAGGGTAACGAAACATCTGCACACCACAGAACAACCAGCTCGGACAGCTAATGAACAACTGCAAAGAAGTGCAGGACTAGACAATTAATGGTGGGGCCCTGGATACTGTTGTAGAACAAAAAGACCTAGACGTTCAAGTACATAATTCATTGAAATTTGCATCAAAGGTAGACAGGTGGTTAAGAAGGCGTTTAGTATGTTTGCCTTTGTTGCTGAGACATTTGAGTATCGGAGTTAGGGCATCACGTTGAGGTTATACATGATGTTGGTAAGGCCCCCTCTGGAGTACCTTGTGCAGTTCTCGTCATCCTGCTATCAGAAGGATATTATTAAATTGGAGAGGGTTCATTGAAGGATTTATCATGATGTTGCCAGGAATGAAGGGTTTGAGTTATAAAAATAAGCTGGGACATTTTTCACTGGAGTGTAACAGGTTGAGGGGTGACCATTAGAGGTTTATAAAATCATAAGGGGCATAGATAAGATGAATAGCAAAGGTCATTTCTCTCGGGTGGTGAGTTCAAAATTAGGGTGCATATTTTTAAGGTGAGAGGAGAAAGTTTAAAAAAGGACATGAATGGTTCATATGTGGAATGAAATTCCAGAGAACGTAGTGGATGCAGATACAGTTATAACATTTAAAGGACATTTAGATAAGTACATGAATAGGAAAGGTTTGGAGGGATGTGGGACTAATTTAGTTTGGGAACATAGTTGGCGTGAACTAATTGGAACAAAGGGTGTGTTTCCATATTGTATGACTCTATGACTCACACTTTCCCATATTGTATTCCATCTGCCACTTCTTTGCCCTCTATTCTAGCCTTCTACAGCCTCCCATTCCTCAGTACTACCTTTCCCTCCACCTGTTTTTGTGTCATGTGCGAATTTAGCAACAATGCCCTCAGTGCTTTCGTCCAGATTGTTAATGTAATACATGAATAGTTGTGTTCCTAACACTTACTCTTGCGGAACTCCACTAGGCAATGGCTGCCATCTGAAAAAGACCCCCTTATCCTCCCCTCCCTGCCTTCTGTCAGTCAGTCAATCTTCTAGCCATGCCCCTAACACCATTGGCTGTTATCTTATTTAGCAGCCTCCTGTGCAACACCTTGTCACATGCCTTCTTGAAATCCAATTGGATGATGATCACTGGCTATTCTTTGTCTAACTTGCTCATTACCTCTTCAAAACAGTCTGACAGATTTGTCAGGGATGACCTCCTTTGATGAAGCTGTGCTGACTCAGCCCTATTTTACCATGCACTTCCAAGTACTCTGCAATCTCATCCTTAATAATGGGCTCTAAAATCTTACCAACCACCAAGGTCAGGCTAACCAGCATTTGCTTCCTGTCTTTGGCCTCCGTCTCTTCTTAAACAAGGGTGTTACTTTAGCCCTCCTGACTCCATTGATTCCTGAAAAATCACTACCAATGCTTCTACAATATCCTAAGTTATCTCCTTCAATACCCCAGGGCATAGTCTGTCTGGTACTGGTGATTTACCCACCTTCAGATCTTTCAGCTTCCCCAGCATCTTCTCCTTAGTAATGTCTACTACACTTACTTCTGCTCTACCCTAACTGTCTTAAAGTTCTGCTGTGCTGCTGGTGTCATCCACTGTGAAAACTGCTGCAAAGTACCGATTCAGTTCCTCTGCCATTTTTTGTTCCACATTACTACTTCTCCAGCCTCATTTTGCAGCAGTCCAATGTCCACTTTTAACTCTCCTTTATCTTTTATGTATCTTTAAAAAAAACTCTTGCGATCTTCTTTGACATTACTAGCTAGCTTACCCTCATATTTCATTTTCTCCCCCCTTACCGCTTTATAGTTGTCCTCTATCAGTTTTTAGGATTAGGATTAGAGGAGGCTTAGTAATGGAGCAGATTATAAAGATGGAGGCCTGAACATTTGAGCTCCAACCTGGATGTCTGAATCAGCAAGTATTGCTCTTAAACCTGACCCCCAACCCTTTTCTCTGGATGGAAAGGTGGGGATAGGGTAGCAACTGGAGTTGATCACAATTTGAATATGTTTCACAAAGGCAGCTCCAAATGTAAAACTACAGCTGACTTCTTTCTGATCTGATTTTTGCAAGGAGGAGTTGGAAAATGCAACTCGTGCATAATAGACCTGCTAGGAGGTCTAAACATAACAGAGTTCTTTGGAAAGGTATCATTTTGGAGAGTTAAGATATATCCACAAGTATAGCTGTGGGTCACATTTCAGAAAATGTCCATTGCACTTTGTGAGAAGTCACATGTCCTATGGGATCATTGAAAGTAGACCCCAAATGTGTAGTTAAAGTGGATAAAGACCTTGTAATTGACCAGCTTATTAGAACAGTCAAGGAACTGTCATCAGGGCATTCCGATCTCTTGCCTTTTAAATATTTGAAAAGCACAACTGTTTTCAGTGTTAAGAAACAGAGCTTGCTATTTCATTAGGTCAACTGACAACAGCCTTATGCTGAATAACTGAGTTCACACACTATCATTGTCACAGCTGGGTGCCTATCAGATAACCATCTGATTGACTGTTCCAGGTGCTTATAAAGGCTTTAAAGTGTGATAATGAATATAAATGCTTGATTTTCTAGGAGGTTAAAGGAAGCTTTGTCCAGTAAATGGTTTTTTATCAAGTAGAGTGGTTTTTTTTAATAAAACAATTAATTTGACAAGAGACACTTAAAGACTTCATTTAATCAATGTGTGAGTCATGAAATTAGCCCATAGTGGATACTAGGCAAGTTGGCATTGAGCGAATAAGGGTAAAATGGAATGGTACAAAGTTGGTATGGGGGCTATAAAGGTCCTGGGGCTGAGTAGAGGAGTATAGATTTGTGTGTAGGGAATAGGGGAGCGTGGGAATTGGATGGAGTAGCAGAGGTTGGAATGGAGAGTATGATGGACCAAGTGGGCATGTGGGGAAGGTGGTGAGATTGGTATGAGGGCTGTTTTTAATTTTGTTTTACAACTAGAACAAAGACCTGGATCATCTTTCCCAGGACTTCCTCTCAGCCCACCTCTGTACCGAGCAGCCTTGTAACTGCCTTTTGGTGGGACAGCATGAATCCGCTGGGTTTTTCCTGAGGTAGGTTTGCAGAGCTAGCAATTGTACCGATTCTGTGCTTCTCACTCAGAAGGGAAATGTTAGGCGAGGGAGTGGGAGACTGATTTATAAACAACCACGAGAATTTTAAAGCCAGAACATTGCCTGACTGGAAGCGAATATATGTCAGCGAGCACAGGGGTGAGAAGTGAACAAGACTTGTTGCAAGTTGAGACATGGGCAACACTCCTACATTTATTAACTGAGTAGAACCAAATGTACTCTTTTATTTCAGCTCAATACTTCATATAATGTAACCTTTAGTGCAGTACAAAGATTACAAGAACAATAAAGATTGTGGAGAGAGAAGAGATGATTGAACAGGGTGCACAGAGCACAGCCATTATAGAAAGCACGGTGACCTATTAAGAGGGAAGCAGATGAAAGTGTAAGCTTGTAGGCATAATTAAAGCATGCCATTGCAGAACCTCACTGACTTCCACTAAATCAATAGCAAAACCTTTTAAATAAATAGATGTGTATTACAGAAGCAACAGCACGTTTTCTAATCACTAAGTGCGGTTGAAAAATGCTACGTGCTCTTGCTAATGAGTAATTACAAGCTTATCCTTTCAAATTCATATACCTTTCAAAGCTTTATACATATGTAAACTAATTTAGATGATGGGTCTTAATGCTGGAAATATAAATATTTTCCATTTCTACAATGTATCAGAAAAATACACTCTGATGGCATTTTTGTTAGTTACAGTACTGTTAGATGTGGAGTAAAGTCCCCACAATAGGTCAGCAGTGTTTTTTGGACCCAACCTTAGCAATCTGTACTGTGTTCGGTATGATATTTTCTTCATTTTGCACAAAAGCTACACCATAGTCCCTCTGGATGAAACTTCCTATTTAAATACAGATATTTTTGTTGCAAATGGTATTGTGTGTGTACTTAAATGAGTTAAAGCCTCCACCAAGAGAGCAGAGAGGGAAACCTACATTAAGCAGTCACGTTAAATGTTTGTATGATAACATGGTAATTTCTATCTAATCACACTTAATGTGCCATGTTGCAATGTTGACAGAAGTTAAATTGGATTCAGTCTACTGATAAGACATTTAATCCCTCAACCAGAGTGAATTTAAGATATCTTTACACTCATGCTTTTTTTTTAACTTCCTGCCTGTTTTACTAACTTTTTTCTACTGTGTATGTGGCATTCACAGCGCTCATCAGCAGTGGCTCTTTGTGACATCACAACGAAAACGTTAAGGATCATTAACGCAACTGAAAAAGCATTGCATGACTTTGCAGAAGTAGATGGCGCAGTTAATGAACCTCTCAGAAATCCCAGTTTGCACCTAAAGGCCAGTGAAAAAGACCTAAGTGTGAGCGAGGCTGATGAAGCATACAGAAAACTTGAGGAAAATGTAAGAGCAACAGTCTACCTCACAGAAGAAATCCATTTTAATATTAATACCTGTACTTAGGAGATATCTTCATATTTCCTTACAATTCTTTCATATATAATGGCTATATAAACGGAAGGTCTGAATTGATCATCACTTTTGTTCTTAAGTAACTGCATCTCCTGTGCCCAGCTATGCCAAGTTAGTTTATCTCGGAGAAAGAAGGAATTGGGACACTTCTGTTGGATTCTGCAACCCATGTCTAGATAGCTCTGCTGTGGTTTTCAGTGGAAAGTTAAAAAAAGAGAACTTTAGATTAATTTTAACTGAGGGGCCTTCTGTGCAAGCATAACCTGACAGCACATTATCAAGGTTGATGTATGGAGTGACCACATAGCAAGAGGACTACTGGGAATTTATAGCCCAGGAGGGGAAGGAAATTAGGGCCATATGAGCCTTCTATTTTCAGATTGAAAGTCACACTAAAGAAGGTTAATCATTTGATGCAACCTAAACTTATGGCACATAGGAAACATAACAGTAATATTTCTAGCTGGACCAACCAATGTCTCTACCTGAAAGTTTTCCAATGATCGTCACATGTGCCTCTAGCTTATGAAGTACTATCGTAGATAGAAAAAGGGAGTAATTTGGCACATTGTGTTCCTGTAGGTGTATATGGCAGCCAGCACAAATTACGGCTTGGCAAGGCAGCTGAAGGACCTGGAGGAGCGAGCACGAAGCAGACAGAGTTACACCACCACCACAACAGACTCTGAGCTCTCAGAACTGGAAGATAAGGTGGCTTCAGCAGTTGCTCAGGTTCAATGCACTGAAAGCGAGGTACAGTGTAAAAGCACGTCAGGTTTAAAAGATAGTTTAGCAGCTGCATGTTGAACCTGAGGAGAGATGGGTGCCGAGGTCCAAAAGCTTTGTTGGTGAATACACTGCCCATTGCATGTACAGAACAGAAAGCTTGCCAGGTTTGATCTTTGATCTGTGCTGGTACAGTTGGTCTCAGCTGGCACTGTAGAAGAGAAAATGTCATTAGTTTCACTTGCCTCTGAATTACAGAGGAGGTAATTAATAAATAAATCAGGCTAGTTATCAATATTGATTATTATCCAATGATTTCTGCTGGAAGTGCACTGTTGAAATGTTGAATGAGGATAGATCAGGCTTGACAATAATGTTCAACCCGTTCAAATATACTAGTAACTTCATGTTTTTGGCAGGGTTTACTGAGTAAATTTTTTCATTGAGAACCACAATCAAGTTCTTGATGGGTCTCTGAAAGTGCATTTCCTTACACCGTAAACTCCTGATTTCAATCATGCCACTGGGGAGTTAACAAATCGAGGCTGGACACTCTCTCGTGGAAAGGGAGGAGAAAATTATATTTCTGTTTATCAGCAGTGACCTCAGTGAGGGAGTCGCATTCCTTCGTCTACCATTTCAATAAAATACTAACACATTTATTTAGCTGAGCCAATTTGAAATATTCCTGCTTTCCCCAAAACAACAGAGAAAAATGTATCATCCTCAATATTACCAATGGCAAATTTTGCCTTAAAGACTGGATTTTCCTTTTAATCTGTTGTATTCAAATAGGCCATTTTACTTGCTACAAGAAAGTTAGGAAACCCTTGTCATAGCATTTTCTTTGACTGGAGAACAAGAAAATAAGGTGCTGGAGCTCAACAGACACTGCACAACTTGCCATCAACAGCAGCAGCTTTATTTTTACATACCTTTTTTTGACATAGTAAATGTGCAAAAGCATTATGGAAGTTCAAGCATTATAGATACAGGGAAGGTGAGGTACACAGTGTCACGGAGATGTATTGTGAGCAGTAACGATCTTGACTGTTTTATAAAGAGAGGTAGTTTAGCTGAGGCACTGGTGAGCCATTGGTTGAAGTGTACCATGCTAGATGAGTCAGTCCCCTGGAAAAAAAACAGTGAGAAGATAAATTACGGTACAAAAGGAACGTCCATTCGATCATGTAACACCTTTAAAAATATGGTAAATTCCGAATAAACGCAACCTCAATAATTAGTTCACTTATAATTTTAGTTCACGAATGTTAATGTATAATACTTGTAATAGAAATTGGAGGACAGACATGATCCCATTTTTAAAAAGTCTCTGTAATTAACAAATGCTATTACCTTCCGGTGGACAGTAATTTTCTAATAAGTCTGTTAAATCCTGCTTGGTTTATGCATAGTTAGTTACCAAAGTTAGTATGTTTGGTTGACATAGCAGATGCATTCATTCTCAAAGGTAAGAGACTGTGAACCTGAACATTTAGGTATTTGGTGGCTCTGCAACCAGGACACTAAGATTAATCCTGACTGTCCCTCGTTTGGTTTGCTGCCATTGATGGCATCAGTACCTGTCCATGTTTACCATATAGTGTCTACCTTCAGTGCCTCATCCGCTCAAGATTATGAATACTCACCACCACCAAACCCTACTGTGAGGCTTTCAGCTTCCCTTATGAGACCACTTTACCTTTAGTTCTGATGGCTAAAATCTATTATATAGTTCTCATTTGATCAAAGCCCACAACTAAAATTCACTTCCATTTGCAATGTCTTTAGGTCCATGAATACAGATTTGGTAAATGTCTCTCTCTCTTTCTTTGTCTCTTTGAAGGTGAATATGAATCACCAAAATCTTCAAGAAATCCATCTTCACTCCCTCCCTTCTCTTCAATTACAATCCAAAATTCTGGCATACGTTATTGTCTCATGACTTCACTTCATAATAGACTCCCTCCATACTGGCCGATGGCCCTGACAGAGTACTAAATCCACACTGGCATAAGAGATGTGGGAGCTGGCTGATCCCATTGCGAACTGCAGCAAGTGCTGGTTGCTCGAGGAACTTCAGCTCAGAGTTAATGAGCTGGAATCTGAGCTTCAAACACTGCAGCACATCCGGGAGGGGGAGAAGTATCTGGACACTGTGTTTCAGGAGGCAGTCACACCTGGTAGATTAAGTACTTCAAATTTTGTCAGTGGCCAGGGACAGCAGGGTGTGACTGTACGCGAGGCAGGTAGAGGGATCCTGCAGTCTGGAACAGAGGAGCCTCAGCTCTTGACCTTGTCCAACAGGTACGAGATACTTGCTCCCCGTGTGGATGAGGAAAAGGGCTGCAGGGAGGATGAGCCAACTGACCGCTGCACCATGGTACGGGAGGCCATTCAAGAGGGGGGGTGCAAAAAAACAAGTAGTTGTAGGGGATTCTATAATCAGGGGGATAGATGGTATCCTTTGTAAGTAGGATCAAGAGTCCTGCATCGAGTGTTGCCTGCCCGGTGCCAGGGTAAGGGATATCTCTGACTGGCTTGAAAGGATCCTGGAGCGGGAGGGGGAGGATCCAGTTGTTGTGGTCGACGTCGGAACGAACATAGGCAAGACTGGGAAAGAGGGTCTGTTCAGGGATTATCAGGAGCCAGGAACCAAATTAAAGAACAGGTCCTCGAGGATTATAATCTCCGGATTACTGCCTGAGGCACGTGCTGATTGGCATAGGGACACGAGAATAAGGGAAGTAAACACGTAGCTAAAAGAGTGGTGCGGGAAAGAGGGGTTCCTTTTCATGGGGCACTGGCGTCAGTATTGGAACAGGAGGGATCTGTACCGTTGGGATGGTCTCCACCTGAATCGAGCTGGGACCAATGTTCTAGCGAAAAGGGCAAATAGGCTGGTCAACAGGACTTTAAACTAGAAAGTGGGGGGAAAGGGAATGGTGAAACTTGCCCCAGTGGGAAACAAAGCAGCAGGTTAACATCTGTAGTGGTGGATTCAACTATGTGGAAAAATATGAAAGAAATGACAGGGAAGGAGAATTCAGGAGAAGTTATTAAAGTCTCCAGCACAGACACCAATAGGACAGAGTGTTTGGAAAGGGCTAGCAGTCAAACACTGGAAAAAGGAAGTAAAATGAGAGGAGGGAGAGTTAATACAGGACTGAAGGTGTTCTATCTGAATGCACGCAGTATAAGGAATAGGATAAATGAGCTTGTGGCACAGATCAAAACTGGCAGGTATGACATGGTAGGCATCACGGAGACGTGGCTGCAAGGGGATCAGGATTGGGATCTAAATATCCAAGGATATACATCCTATCGAAAAGATAGGCAGGTGGGCCAAGGGGGTGGGGTTGCCTTATTAGTAAGAAATGAAATTAAATCAATAGGAAGAAACGAAGTAGGGCCAGATGGTGTAGAATCTGTGTGGGTAGAATTGAGGAACCGCAAGGGTGAAAAAACCATAGTTGGAGTTGTGTACAGGCCTCCAAACAGTAGTCAGGAGTTGGGGCGCAAGATACACCTGGGGATAGAAAGGGTGTGTAAGAAAGTCAAAGTCACAGTGATCGTGGAGGATTTCAATATGCAGGTGGACTGGAAAAATCATGTTGGTGGTAGATTGCAAGAAAAGGAGTTTGTGGAATGTCTACGAGATGGCTTTTTGGAGCAGCTCATGGTGGAGCCCACAAGGGAACAGGCAATACTGGATTTTAGTGTTGCACAATGAGGCAGACTTGATAAGGGAGCTTAAGATAAAGGAACTCTTAGGACGCAATGATCATAAGATGATAGAATTTGCTGTGCAATTTGAGAGGGAGAAGATAGAATCAGAGGTAACGGTAGTACAGCTGAATAAAGGCGACTACAGAGCTATGAAGGAGGAGCTGGGCAGAATTGACTGGAAGAAGAGCCAGGCAGGAAAGACAGTGGAACAGCAATGGCAGGAGTTTCTGGGAGTAATTCAGGAGACACAGCAAAAATTCATCCCTAGGAAAAAGAAGCATGGTACAGGGAGGATGACACAACCATAGCTGACTAAGGAAGTCAGGGATAGCATAAAAGCAAAGAGAAAGCATATAATGTGGCGAAGGGCAGTGGGAAACCAGAGGATTGGGAAGCTTACAAAGACCAACAGAGGGCAACAAAAAAAGAAATAAGGAGAGAGAAGATTAAATATGAGGGTAAGCTAGCCAGTAATATAAATGAAGACTGTAAAAGTTTCTTTAGATATATAAAGGGCAAAAGAGAGGCAAAAGAGGACATTGGACCATTGGAAAATGATGCTGAAGAGATAATAGTGGGGAACAAGGAAATGGCTGAGGAACTGAATAATTACTTCACGTCAGTCTTCATGGTGGAAGATATGAGTAATCTCCCAAAAATTCAAGAGAGTCAGGGGGCAGAGCTAAGTATGGTGGCCATCACCAAGGAGAAGGTGCTAGTAAAACTGATTGGCCTGAAGGTGGACAAACCACCTGGACCAGATGGACTACACCCCAGAGTTCGTAAGGTGATAGCTGAAGAGATAGTGGAAGCGTTAGTGGTGATCTTTCAGGAATTGCTAGAGTCAGAGAGGGTCCCAGGGGACTGGAAAATCGCTAACGTGACACCCCTTTTTAAAAAGGGAGTAAGGCAAAAGACGGAAAATTACAGGCCGATTAGCCTAACCTCAGTCATGGGTAAGATTTTGGAATCTATTGTGAAGGATGAGATTTCTGAATATTTGGAAGTGTATGGCAAAATAGGCCAAAGTCAGCATGGTTTCACCAAGGGGAGGTCATGCCTGACAAATCTTTTTGAATTCTTTGAGGAAGTAACGAGCAGGTTAGACTAAGGAGAGCCAATGGATGTTATCTACCTGGACTTCAAGAAGGCCTTTGATAAGATGCCACACAGGAGGCTGCTGAGTAAGATAAGGGCCCATGGTGTTAGAAGCAAGATGCTGGCATGGATAGAAGCTTGGCTGTCTGGCAGAAAGCAGAGAGTGGGGATAAAAGGGTCTTTCTCAGAATGGCAGCCGGTGACAAGTGGTGTTCCGCAAGGGTCAGTGCTGGGACCACAACTTTACACTTTATACATTAATGATCTAGATGAAGGAACTGTGGGCATTCTGGCTATGTTTGCAGACGATACAAAGATAGGTAGAGGGACAGGTAGTATTGAAGATGTGGGGAGGCTACAGAAGGATTTGGACAGGTTAAGAGAATGGGCAAAGAAGTGGCAGATGGAGTAAAACGTGGGAAAGTGTGAGGTCATGCACTTTGGTAAGAAGAATAAAAGCATAGACTATTTTCTAAATGGGGAGAAAATTCAGAATCTGAAGTGCAAAGAGATTTGGGAGTTCTAGTCCAGGATTGTCTCAAGGTAAACTTGCAGGTTGAGTGAGTAGTCAGGAAGGCAAATGCAATGTTGGCATTTATTTTGAGAGAACTTGAATATAAAAGCAGGGATGTACTGCTTAGGCTTTATAAGGCTCTGGTCAGGCCACATTTGGAGTATGGTGTGCAGTTTTGGGCCCCATATCTCAGGAAGGATGTATTGGCCCTGGAGCGGGTTCAGAGAATGTTCACAAGAATGATCCCAGGAATGGAAAGCTTAACATATGAGGAAAGTTTGAGGACTCTGGGACTATACTCATCAGAGTTTAGAAGGATGAGTTGGAATCGAATTGAAACTTATAGAATACTGAATGGCCTGGAGAGAGTGGATGTTGGGAAGATGCTTCCATTGGTAGGAGAGACTAGGACTCGAGGGCACAGCCTTAGAGTAAAGGGAAGACCTTTTAGAACAGAGATAAGGAGAAACTTCTTCAGCCAGAGAGTGGGGAATCTACAAATTCACTGCCACAGAAGGCTGTGGAGGCCTGGTCATTGAGTACATTTAAGACTGAGATAGATAGGTTCTTAATTATTAAGGGGATCAAGGGTTACGGGCAGAAAGCAGAAGAATGGGGTAGAGGAACTTATCAGCCATAATTGAATGGCGGAGCAGACTCGATGGGCCGAGTGACCTAACTTCTGCTCCTATGTCTTATAGTCTTATACAAATGACATGTTGATTGACTGGTTAACATGGCTTCACTCAACTGTTTTCTTCTGTACTGGTTACACTGTCTTTGGAAACTGTTAATAATTTTATTTTCCTCTAGTATCTTTTCTGTGCCGTTAACATCTCTCTGTCTCAATATGTACCAAATCAAAGCCAGTTTTTCTGATCCTAATGGCACTGATGTGCCTCTAGCATTGATTGCATCAGGAACCGTGGTTAACAAAGTTATCATTTCAAATTGATAACCTTTCGTCAAAGCTATGGAGTACCAGATCCAATGAAAGTTACTTATCTGCAGTGTTAGTGGTTTTCTCTCCAGAGTTGCTGTTGAGTATTTTCTGAATGTTCTGTTTTCATTATCCACCATAACTAGATTTTTTTTTTATTTCCTCTGATTTTTCACTCTTGCATTTTTTTCTCTCTCTTAAGTAAAAACAAAAAATATTGAAAACGTTTGGCCTCTGTGAACAGAGCACCAACAATTAACATTTCAGGTCTGTGAACTAACATCAGAATGGAATCTTTTACGTATGAGATATGAACAGAAGTAAGCCACTTGGTCCCTCAAACTTGCTGCACCATTCAGTAAGATCATGGCTGATCTGTTTGTGGCTTGAATTCTACCTTCTTATCTACTCCTGAAAACCTTTTATTCCTTTGCAAATGAATGAATCTGTCTACCTTAATCTTAAAAAATGTTTGGTAATCCCAATTCCACTGGCTTGAGAGAGAAATATTTTGCCTGATCCTTGTCCCAGAAGGGCGACCCTTAATTTTAAAACATTACCCCCTAGTTCTGGATTAACCCACAAGGAAAAACATCCTTTCTTTATCCTCCTTCTCAATTCAGGATCTTCTACACTTCAGTCAAATCACACCTCACTCGTTTAATCTCCAGTAAAAACAAATCCTCATAAAACAACACGTTTATTCCAGGTATCAATCCAGTAAGTGTCGTCTGAATCAGCTGCAGTGCATTTTCATACTCCTTAAATAAGGAGACCAAAACTTCACGAAATATTCAAGATGTAGTCTCATGCATCCCCTATGTAACTGTAGCATATCATCCTTACTTTTGTGTGCAGTTTGTCTCATAATAAAGGATAGTGCTCCATTAACCTTGAAAACAAAAAGATTCCAGCATCTGCGGTGATTTGCTCTTATATTCCATTAGCTTGTCTTGTTGAATTGCAATTCCACACAAACCAGACGTCTTCCAGGACCTTGCTGAAGTGATCATTGTTCATAGGTGAGCCCTAACAGGGAATTACAGCAGAATCTAATTGTGTGCATGCGTTCAGTGAAGCCACTGGATAATAAACAGAAACAGAAAACGTTCCCAATATTTCCCTTCTGAGAGTGAATCTGGTGCCTCGCCTTGCACCCCAGCTATAAACAGTATAGTTGAAGGATCAACCCTCAGATTTTATCAGTCTGTATGGCTGAGCTAATCAGTGGAGAAACTTGCCGAGATATCAAGAGTGTGTGACTGACATTTTTATGGTTGTTATAATATGAGTATGGTGGCTGCCAGAGTGCGGAAATGTTAATTTATAGGATTGCTCAGTATTCTTCAGTTTATTAAAGAAAGAGTCTACAGTGTCTGGATAATGAACTCTGACTCTGGCTTTGCATTCTCACTGTGTCTTCCTGGTTATATACATTTGTAATGATGCGTCATCAATAGGTGTCTATTGATTGGACTTATTCTGATCTGTTTTTGTCTCGTTCTCTGTTTGGCTGTTTCCTAATGACAATTCAAGCTACAGCACAGCTGACTAATTGACCAGGAGAGATGATGTATGTAAAGTAGTTGTAGCATGGGACCAATATGCCAGCCAATGTGTTGTTCAAAAAGTACTGTATGAGTTTGGGACTGAACAAAGGGCAAAGACAAAAAGGTTCAGTGCATAGAGGGATACTTACTTCATTTGGTTAGCACAGCTTCGAATGCTGCTTGCAGACACTTCTCCAGGGTCATATACTGCTGTGGGCTGCTACTTGTGTGTGACATTCCTCACTGATGTAGTGACTGTCCCTAAAGAATTGACAAAGTCTGCAAGCAGCACCAATGGAAATGAATTGTTCTCCCAGTAAGTATTTTTAAATGAGAAAAGTCAATGTGTTAGATGTTTGAAATGTCAGTGCGATTTTATACTGCAGGTTTCTGATATAGAAAACCGGATTGCAGCTCTGAGTACTACTGGAATGAATGTTTCAACTGAGGATAAGCCCAAAAGGAAGCAAGATGGACAGGTGTGTGTGTGTGTGTGTGTATATGTGTGTGTCTGCAGGAGTGTGACTTCAATGTGTTATAATCACTGATGCTGTCTATATTATAGAGAGACAGAGTCCAAGTCCATGAATTGGAATGCTCTGTTGCTGTGAAGTGCTTCTGCTGCTCAAGATGTTACAATAAAGATGAGCACATGACTTCAGTCCCTGTTTTTACTGAGTTCGTAGATTCACACTCCCTGATCATTACCCAGCTACATGATGCATGCAGACAGACATCAACTCAGGAAAGATTGCAGTTCTGTGATACCCTCTCTATTAAATAGCTTGTTCATTGGCACTCTCCTGCCTAAGCTCAAGGTTCAAGCGTGAAAGAAATACAGAATGGCATAGTGTCTGGAGCTATTCTGGCAAGTTCAGCATTTGTTGCCTATTCTGTTTTGTTAAGCCATTGCAGAGTCAACCAGATTACAGTGGATCTGGATTCAATTTTATCAGTTTTCTGACAGTGGTCACTATTACTAAGACTTTGAATTCCAGATTTTATTAATTGAATTTAAATCCCACCTTGGTGGGAATTGAACTCGTGCCTCCAGAACATTAGCCTGAGCCTTCAGATTACTAGTCCAGTGTTATTACCACTGTGCCAAAATCTCCTTTGTTTCCCTTCTAATATCTTTAAACATTTAGGAGTAGGTGGATAATTGTTTTGGCAGGAAACAACAGAAAAATGATATCTCATGTTTCAAATAACTTAGTGTTTTAACTCAGAACTTGTCAGTTTTTGTAGTCCTTGTCTGCCTGTTAAAGCATGAAGCACTATGTCTGGTTAGCATATTAACGGAGATGCACTTCATCCAATTTTATGAACTAGAATTGCTGGGAGGATTTCTATATAAATCTTTATAGAGTCCATGGGTGAGATTTCAAACTTGCTGCGGATTTTTTTTTAAACATAGAAATATCAATGTCATTTAAGTACATGACATGGTTATAAATATTGGCTGGTGTCCACTTATCAACAATATGTAAATGTTTTTCATTTTGTCACTTTGAAGATAAAACTTAAGAATTAGAAAAGTTACCTCTTCTCTTTGGCAGCCTTCTGTCTCATCAGATGACGGTTTGTACCTTAAATAGAAAAAGAAAGTGGTGGAGAAACTCAGCAGGTCTTGCAGCATTTGCGGAGGGAAACAGTTAGCGTTTCAAATCCAATATGATTCTCGTTCTGATATCAGACTCAAAATGTTAACTCTGTTTCTCCCTCTATAGGTACTGCCAGACCAGCTGAGTTTCTTCAGCACTTTGTGTTTTTACTTCAAATTTCCCAGCATCCGCAGTGTTGTGTTTCTGTTTGATGGTTTGCACCTTCACGATTAACCCTGCGCTAAACATCAATTGGTGTGTCTCAAGACCCCCATTCTCACATGGTGGCTACTGCCACATTTGCTGGAAGACAGTGGGCTGGAGTTCAGCTTCAGATAAGAATTATATGAAAACCGAATTTGGTTTAGAAGTCTCACAGTACTTATTTGGCTGGTTAGTAAAGTACTCAATCTGGCCAACAGATCAGCAAACTTTCAGTTTTGATCCCCAGTGTATTCCACATAAACTTGTCATAGGTGATGGATGAGATGCTCCAACGACTTGGTGCTTCCATTCTAAGGAGGGAATAAATCAGCTCAAGTACCTACTCATGATCAGCAGTCAGTGTGATTTGCCGGAGACTGGATATTTTGTGAGAACAACATTGGACCCAGCTGTGGTACCTGCCAAACACTATCCCAGGTTAAATTGTAAAAAGGCAAAGGTTGCTCAAGGCAACAGCGAGTCGCAGATAATCACCACTGAGAGAGAGGGAGAAAGCAGGAGGTGGAACAAGAAAAAAAAAATCTGAACTAAATTGAAATACAAAGTTACTTTATTTGAGTTACGTACTACAGAGTTCAGTGTGTGCACTCAAGTGTCACTAAGGATTTTTTTTTTAACAAACATGTATGCCTGCTTACTGTAAAGAAGCTGCAACCCCGAGATATGGACCCCACTCTCTCAAGGTACTGTGGTACATGATAAAGGACAATTAAAGTTTAAAGAATGTTTTCTTTTTACTTTCTGTCTTCCTACAATAAATATCATCCAATCTATCCACTGCCAACATGCTTGTTGTGAAGGTTAAATTTAGGTAAATGCCATTCCCATGTTAACAACACACAATCCCCAGACCTCTCCCTCCCCAGGTCGTTTATTTTCCTGAGGTATTGAAAGGATTTCCTGCCATTCTCTCTCTACTCGTTCTTCATAATGCATTAACTGCAAATCTAAATATTAAATTGCATCTTGTGTGAAGATCCTAAATCAGCTCATTGATGCAGGGAGTGCCTCTGGAAAGCACCAGTCAGTCACATTTATCAACAATCTTGTCACAACCCTTCAGAATTATGTTATACATGGAGGCTTTACTTGTGCGCTGAGAAGCAATCGCTAGCCTTTGAGTTGAGAGATATGCATGGATGTTGATTCATTTTACGACCAGTTTGTTTGACTAATGTACCTTTCTTTTACAGGCAATGATGATGCACCAGCCTCCGTGTCAAAAAAGTTCAATTCCAACTGGAAATAAGGAATCAAAAAGTTAGTTAGCAATTGTCACAATTTCATTTCACTTTTTTAATAGAATTTATGATAACTTTTATTTGAATATGAGTTGGGTAATACAGTGAGACCTGTCTTCAATGTCCCACAAAGTTGCTCTAAACTATATCAAAGCCAAAGACTGCACATGCTGGAGAACTGATAAATAGAAAGGGTTGGAGAAACTTAGTAGATTTAGCAGCATCTGTGGAGAGAGAAACACCACTAATCTTGAATCTGATCTGATTCTTGTTCAGAACTGTTCAAACAACACAATCATACTCACTAAACTATCTTACAGCCAATGTCTCATTCTCCTCTATTACTTTCCCTGGTTGCGTCCTGTTCCTCAAGTAGGACAGACCCACCTGAACAACATTCAGGCTTGGAGTGATAAATGGCACATCAATATCTTGCCACACAAAAATCAGGAAACGACTATCTCCAACAAAAGTGAATTTAACCATCACTCTTGACACCAACCTACCTTTGCTGAATCCACAAGCAATATTCAGAGGTTACCATTGACCAGAAACATAACTGGACCAGCCATGTAAATACTGTGGCTGCAAGAGTAGATCAGAGGCAGTAACTCACTTCTTGCTTCCTTAAAGTCTTTCCATCATCTACAAGGCACAAGTCAGGAGTATGATGGAATGCTCTCCACTTGTCTGGATGAATGCAGCTGTGGCAACTCAAGAAGCTTGACACCATCCAAGATGAAGTAACCTACTTAAGTGGCACCCCACCCACAAACACTCATCCCCCTAAATATAGTCCATACATTATTAGTAGTGTTATTAATCGTACACATATACACAGACACACAAATTGTAATGAACTGCAGCAACATACCAAATTTTTTCCAACCACAACTTCCAAACCCATGGCTTGCACTACCTTGACGGACAAGAGTAGAAATGATCAGGATCATGCCCATCTGCAAATTCCCTCTAAGCCACGCATGTGCCTGACTTGGAGCTATATTGCTGTTCCTACACTACTGCAGGAAGGACATTAGTGAAACAGATGGGTCTTTACAACAATCAGAAGTGGTTACGTGGTCATCATTAGGCTAGATATTTATTGAATTCAGACTTCACCATCTAACATAGTGGGATTTGAACCTATGTCTCTTATCTAGAATTCTGGATTACTAGTCCAGTAACATTATCACTATGCCAATACCTCCCCACTGAATTTATAGTCTTTGGATCATAAGAGTTTTTGGGCCATAGAGTGATACAGCATGGAAACAAAGCCTTCGGTCCAACTCAGCCGCGCCCACCAGACATCCCGATCTGACCTAGTCCCATGTGCCAGCATTTGACCCATTTCTCTGTAAACTTTTCCTATTTGTTTACCAATCCAGATGCCTTTTAAATGTTGTAATTGTACCTGCTTCCACCACTTCCTCTGGTAGCTCATTCCATTCATGCGCCACCCTCTGTGTGAAAGCATTATCCCTCAGGTCCTTTTTAAAATCTTTCCCTTCTCACTTTAACTCCATGCCCTCTAGTTTTTGATTCCCTCATCCTACAAAAAAAACCTTGGCTATTCACCATATTCATGCCCCTCATGATTTTGTAAACATCTTAAGGTCATCCCACAGTGCATGCCAAATGCCGCCTTCACCACCCTATTTACCTGCAACTCCACTTTCAAGGAACTATGCACCTGTACCCCTAGTTCTCTTTGTTTGGCAACACTCCCCAGAACCTTACCATTTGGTGTATAAGTCCTGCTCTGGTTTGCCTTCCCAAACTGCAACACCTCATTTATCTGAATTAAACTCTATCCTCCACTCCTCAGCCCATTGGCACAGCTGATCAATTACTTATTAATTTCTATTTTTAGTGACAATTTAATGTTGATGATGGCTGTTTTGAACTCTGCCGTGAGTGAAAACACCTTGTCCCAATCCACCTGTCAAACCTTTTACCTTTTTCAGTTCTTTATACATCACCCCTTATAGCCCTCTCAATGACAGAGGACAGTCTCAGCCTGCTTAGGTTTGCTGAATTTTTTAAATATGGAATATATAGCTGTACATTGTTTTTGGTAATAACATGCCTTTTCTACAGCTGGCAAGAGTGAATCTTTTGAACGAAACATACTAAACAGAGGATCACTCACCCAACGGAATCCGACTAACAAAAGCAGAAGATTGGACCGTGTTTTTGGGGTATGCTGAGTCTCCATCTTTGGTGAAGGTCCTAATGCAAGAAAAGGACCATACAATTTATAAGATAGCTTGGAATGTTTTTATGGTTTGCTTTCCCTTTGGCCTTACCCTCAGTAAACTGCAATGCCATGTGATTCAGGGCCTCCACCTATGGCACGTTCAGCTCCCAAATGTTACCAGAGTTGGCATTTGGCCATCTCAACCTTTGTTGCCTTTCATCAAAAAAGTTGAACTTCTGCATTACAATATTTTTGAGATCAAAGTGATCATATTTTGGAATGCAGTTCTCAACAGAAAGTTAGGGAATATTGCACATTCTTTGATAGTTGCAGCAATTCTGTAGGCTGGTATTTGTGCTAACAGGCTGCTCAGTTAGACCATCTCGTTGCATGTAATCCGAATCACTATCACTTGTACTTCAGAACTGAGTGTTTGGGAGCAATGTTCAATCTATTTCAGTCTGTCACTGTTCTTTATTCCACTATCCTGGAAGCTTACTGGTAGTAAAGTTTGAAAATGGCAACCCCTTCAAGGAATCAGATGGAGACAATGATGGGAGATATCAGTTTGCCTATCTGTTATCTGTGAAGCAAAAGATAAATTAATTCATCTAACTGTAGATATTGGGTGGAAACATTCTAACTCTGCACACTGAGGAGGGAATGAGAGTTTGGACCCTTATGTTTCTCAAACTGGATAACATAAAACTTTGTAACTTTTTATAAAAATATAAGTAACCTTGGATAAAACTGTTGTGAGCTGTGTAGAGGACAGCTTTAGAAAAAATATAATGTTTATGGCCATGTTTTAGTGAAAATTTATCATTTGGCAGATTTGATATTTGAAAAAAACAAACATTTTCATTTGGCAGATGTGATATTTGAAAAACAACAAACATTTTTAAAAAGCCTTTTTAGTGCATAGAGCTCTTTTATAAACATACTATTTGGCATGATAATTCATGGAGGCATTAATGGGTATCAGGATCAGATCTGTAATCTTCTCTAATTGGGTATATTTCACATTTCTTGTCCAGCTACATAGAAATAAAGTGCAATATATTTTGGTAATTTTGCAAATCCATTATTGTCATTCATACCTGTGATCATGCATGTAGTTTTAGCAGATTTCTATGAAGGTAGTGAGAAGGTAACTTATTTCTCCTGGCTGGATCAAAAACTCAGCCTCAGATTTGGTCCTTAAAACATTGATGTGACATATGCAGGGATAAAAGCATGGAGAATTATGTCTTCATAAACCCAAGGGAAAATGCAATAGCTTTTTCTTTTATTCATTCATAAGATGTGGGAGTTGTTGGCTGGACCAGCATTTATTGCCCATCTCTAATTACCCTGAAAAAAGTCATAGTGAGCTGCCTTTTTGAAATGCTGCAGTCTTGGGGTGTAAGGACTGACCTGTTATTTATAACCAACTGGCCGGTTACTTTTACTCATGATTGTTCTCCTTAATTTTTCACTTTTGTTTTTATGCTATACAGAAACCAGTCATGACCAAGCAACCTTAAAGAAAAAAGCCATCAAAATGACCTATGTGCTAGAGCATTAGAAAAGCATGATTCCCAGAATCAGAATACAGATCTACATTTCCAAGAGCAATCAGCTTGTTAAATGATACATAATGCAACCAGCTTGTGTGTTATATGTTTATTTTATGCAGAGTTATGTACAATTGTTCTTGTGAGTAATGGATATTCCTTGCATTGAAATGTATGCAAGTACATTCTGCCATATTGCATCAGCTGTAATGCCCTTTACAATTATGATGTTGTGATACACTGATGCTTTGCATATTACTACATTTTCATGCTTATTTTGTGACAATTTTATGTGGCAAGTGCAGATCGGTTGCTAAAATTTGAGAGGTAAATGGTCTCAGTGGGGATGATGGTTGAGACATAATGATAATATTGCTGTCATTGTCAGTGGCCATCGCTGGAAAAAATAAGGCATGATTTTCAAACAGTAACCAGTTCTGTTTCTTTAAATTGGAAATTTGTATATGTCACTCTGCTGTTTCAGATGACAGAGAGATTTCATAGAATTGTAGACCAGTTAGCTGAATATCTGTTTCAGGGAATTACTTGAATCTAGAAGCAAAAATTAATCAATGCCTATTGTTGGGCATGGGGCTAGTGATTTCCTTTCTCTCTGTGTCAGATCCTGTAGGCAGCACACAAACTTTGTGCCATCTGTTCATTTACCAGATTGTAGGGTTGAGCTGTGTGGCACCCAGACTGCTGGCTGTCTAAATGCTCAACAGGGCATCAACCAGGATGTGGGGAAAACATGTGCAGTGCATAGCCTCAGCTCCTAAAGGCAGTTGTCCCTTTTTCCAACTGAGCAAAAGGCAAATACTGGGAGATTTTCACTATGACACGTGCTTTCTCTTGGAATGATCCAGTTATATAAGAGGTTTAATACAGCAGTGACCTTTACAGCACTGGCAGAGCTATTCTCTCTCTGGTCCATGCTTGCAGATCAGCTTCAAGGAGGTAAAAGTTCTTGACCACCTTCTTGTTGCATCAAAGTCACCTCAAGCATTGCTGCTTGACAGGAAGTGTCCTCAGAAAACCTGTGGTGGGAAGGAGCCCCTGTATGCAGATCTCTTCCCAATGTTCAGAGCTTCCCCTGTCCACAGCCTTTACATGTTGGTCATATTGCAGACTGAGATGGAACTACAGCCTCTATACCTCATGCAAATGCAAGGCGGAATTTAATTCAGACCCTTGTTGCACACGACGCAATACTAAGGCTGACTAAGCCATTGGGAGGGAACCCTTCCATGATTGAGTCCAAAGTGAGAGGAGGCCAATGTGCACAGCTCACCCGATTGTGGCAGGATGTCAGTTAGGCTCATTAAAGAGCTACTGGACACAAATAATCACTGAGGCAACCAGAATTCAGTGGTGGCTCAGTGATCTAATGGGAATCACAAGGATCTACCATGCCTCCCTAAGGCCACCCAGCCCAAACCCTGTTGCATTTGGCAGCAGCTCCCCATGATGGCACATACTCCCGCACGCATTCCCCCAACCCACCAGTGACTGCTTTGCTGAAACTGCCATTTTCCTCCTCCCTCACTGGAGTTCAGGGACCCAATAATGATACCTGGTTAAGTTCTTAGAGCATTATTATGTGTTCCTGACCAATCTCTCATTTCCTGCAAGCTCTCAGGGGTGGAACTGCTGCCCCGGGAGTCCTGAATTGCAGAGGTAGCACTTTGCTGGCTGAATTTCATCAGGTCTTCTCTGCAGAAATAGTGGCGGTCTCCCATCAGTACTTTTACCAAGGGCAAAATACACTTCACCCACATTAGATCCAGTCCTTAGTGTATATAGGTAGGCAAATCTTCTAATGTCCCTTAATAGATTCACTACCTCACCAAAAGACCTCCAGGGATAAACCACAACACTTCCACGATCTTTACCAGACAGAGGTAAATTAAAAGCATTTAACCCGCAAGTTGGAGTACTGGCCCGTTGAATAGCATTTCCAGAGAAGAGTATGACTTTTGTACATCTGCACCATTGTTCGTTACAGAATGACTAACATATGCTTTCCCTGGTCTGGCACAGTGAAATTTTCAGAGACAGTTGATGTCACAGTCTGATTACATCACACACCATACCCAATCCAGTGCCTATCCAGCATAGAAATTGGACCATGGACCATGACTGAAGCACCATGACAAAATAGGGCCTAATTTCATTGCATACAATGAAGGATAAAGAGACAGAATGCCTTGAAATAGTCAGCTGATTAGAGACAGCCAAAGCAGATCCGTTAATGGCAGGCTGTACCTAGTGCAAGGGGCTGTTGCTCTAATGTAGTGGCAGTGTCACTACCTCTAAGCCAAGAGCCCTGGCTTCATCTTCTACCTGCTCCAGAAGTGTGTAGTAACATCTCTATACAGGTTCATTAGAAAGTATCGATAGCTGATGAAAATAATCAAATATTTTGTGTGGAGAAATGATTATCTATGGATATTATGACTTCCAAAAAGTACTTGATTAAAAACCCTCATAAGGGACACTTGGCTAAACTTAAACCTCATGGAACCAAAGAGAGATTTTTGACCTGGATAGGAAATTGGTCAAGCAGAATAAGTCAGAATGTATGGATTGTGGGTAGATAGTATAAATTAGCAACATTGACCAGTTTTTTTCCCATCACCAAATCACCTGTAGTATTTTGTCAACACCTTATACTTGTACACCTGTGGTTTTTTTTTTTATGTGGTATTTTGTTGTCTATTAACCACCACCAGTAAATCACCCATGTTTTCCAATTGATTAATTTAGGTGCTAAACCCATTAAAGGCAATGCAAGCCATAAAGGTGAGGGAGGGGACTAAATCAAAATGGAGTCGGAAGGGGTACAAAGTGATTACTTTTTTTTATATCAACCTGTTCAGGGTTGTTTTACACACTTCTGACCCTGGGTCTCCTGGCTCAGAAGTAGGAACACTACCATTGCACTACAAGAGCACTTAAAAGAGTTTTTTTTCCCTTTTTTATCATACCCAGAAGTGTTATTACGTACAACTGAACAACTTTCCCATCATCAAAATCACTGTGTCTTTGTTTTTTATGTAAATTACTAACCACCACCAGTAATCACCCATGTAGCCAATTAAATACTGACAAGCAAAGTTTATTTTGGATGATGCAAACCATCAAAAGTGAGGGGAGGCAAGGAGAGAGGGAACGGGCTATATCAAAATGGACTTGGAAGTGGTACAAAGAGATTATCAATAGATTGAATGGGAACAAACTGTGGCAAACAGATTTAAATGTAAGTAAATGTGAGATCATCCACTTTGGACCTAAAAAAGGATAGAACTGAACACTTTCTAAATGGTGAAAAATTGTAGACACAGTTCTAAAAAAAGAATTTGGTGCCTATATGCATAGATCATTATAAAATCATTAAATTAGGGAAGCGATAGATTAAACAAAAAGGACAAGCAGATAAAGAAAGTAATCAAAAAGGTTGATATAATGTTGGTATTTATACATAGAGGATTACAAAGGGGTAGGAGTTATGTTAGAACTATGTATAGTCCTGGTTAGATCTTGCATTGAGCAGTTCTGGCCATCACATTTCAAGTACATATTGGTCTTAAAGGGAGCGCAGTGTAGATATTTAAAATTATATCTAAACTTCAAACGATAAATTATAAGAACAGCTTACACAAATTAAGGTTGTATTCCCTGAATTTCTAAAGTTAAGGGTAGCACTAATCAAAGTTTTCAAGGTGTTAAGGTGCATAGAGAGAAATTCTGCTGTTTGGGGAGTTCAGAGCTAGGGGGCATAGTCTGAAACTTAGTTCTGGGCCTTTCAGATTTGAAGTTGGAACACACCTCTACACTCGAGGGTGGTAGTCCAGGAAACCAATCTGGCCTGAATGTTTGCTCTGTAAGAGGAAATAACTTGAAATAATCTCTGAATCGTTCAGCTCTCAAAAATTTTAGGTGCAGAGCTAAAGTTTTCAATGGAAATATTAAAGTGTGCATTTTAATTTTGGCAAGGTTTGTGCTGATGATGAACGTCTCTGCTGGATTGTGGAATGCTTTCCAGTTTCGGAACTGAGACCCCCCCATGAGAAAAGAGCATATTGCTCATCAAATCCAATCTCTCCCCCCAAGTCAATGGGTGCAAAAATGTAAACCCTCACTCAATCTTCTATTATCTCCTGGGAGAAGCAAAATAAACATAAAATTTGGGTAAAATCCCTAAGAAAGTCCTTACTGACTCCATAAAGTATTCAAAGGAAGAGACTAGGCTCCAAAATACAGCTAGCTAGCAGGTCATTCTGTAAGACTAGAATAGTTTCCCTTTAACCTATTTCAATTTCTCTGGAACACCACTGCCATCAATAGATGTTTAGAATATTATACATCCTATGCCTCTTTCACCAAGTGTGGATTCACCTTCACTGTAGCCCCTGTAATTTTACCAAGAAGGTATCTGTTTGCCAGTCCTCCAGCTCTGTTTTCCCAGGCCCTTTCTTTCCTTCTTCAATGGCTAATGGCCTAATTCTGGCCCTGTTAACTCCTTTGGATCTGTCTTGAACTTTTCTGATGCTGTTAGCCTGTCCTTTGCCTTATTTAATTCAAGTGGCCCTTCCTGAGCCACTCCCATCCTCATGGATTTTTTTGTCACCTGTCAGGCCTTTGTAACTCTCAGTTCCCAGCCTTTCTGCTGCTTCCCAGTGATTTAAATCATGTGATTCTTCCAGGGCCTCTCCAAACCTCATGGGGTTTGCTGTATCCTGTGGAGCTGCTGAAACTCTAAGCCTTCCACCTGCGTGCTGCTGGCTTTCTTCAGCCTTTCCATTTTGTCTAAACTATCGTTTACTGTTGGAGGGGAATATCTTGCTGGCAGCCAAATTGTTTCCCAATAAAATATCAAGTCATTCTATTGGCAAGCTTGGAACTGCCCTTCCTGCTACAGGACCCATAATAAATTCACTCTAAGTCAATTTTAACTAGTGGCATCTCTACACTCTTCACCATGAACCCTATTATCATCCATTGTATCTTTCCATACTTTCAGTTGGAAAATCATTTATCTTACCCACCAGCAAGGTCTGCAAGCAACGCGCATTTCAGAGAATGCTGATTTCTCTCTCTGGTGTTCTAAACAATCAGTGGTCGCTGTTCCTTTTACCAAACTCCTGACCGCTATTCTGATCCAACAGTCATGCCTGAAATGACACAGACCACCTTTAAAGCTACAGATACTGGTTGTGCAACTGGAGTTCCTGAGAGATGGTGAAACCAGCAATTTTCTTTTACACGCTTTGGCTTCATAAAGTGGACGCATTTGGGGTCATTTCCCATCACTTCCCCATCCAGAATCTTCTTTTAATGGCCAATGGCATTTCTTGAATGCATTTACCTGAGATCACTCTGATCTCCCTTTCCAGTCTGTGATAGTTACCAGACCTCAGCTTCCCAGAGATTGTATGTTAGCTCAGCTGTCAGCCAGATTTGTTGCTACTGGGACCTGCTACTCATTGTTTCCATACATGTGTCTGGATTGGAAAGGGTACTGAATTTTTTAACTCTGCAAGGTGAATTACGTAAATGAAGATTTTCACGGGTGGTCTCAGCATTATGTACCTGTAATCACTGGCCAAAGGAAAACTGCTTAAACCATTCAAATTCCCAAAATTTCTGGTCATGACACTTCTGGAGGATTTGGAATGTTTGCCTGCGTGCCTCTGGCACCTATTGCTGCCTCAGAATCAGTGACACTTGCCTCAGGTAAGATGAAGTGCTGTGAGCTTTCCTTGTCAGCCTGTTCTGTAACAGTGATGTCCATTGCTGGACTTGTGACTTTAACTGCTGTCCTCATCCTACAAAAGAGACAAAGACAGGATCCACCTCTTCCTCATTATAGTAGAGGCAAAAGGGACATACTTGAATACTTCAGCTGTTAATTCTGAACTAGGTAAGGTTCCTCGACCAGAGTTATTCTCCCATCTCAGCCTGCGCTCTCTCAATTTGAACACCCTTTCCTGGCATTCTCTCTCATTTTCTTTCTCTTTTTCTTTCCTGTCTCACCCTCTTTTGCCCTTCTGTGCCTCTCTCTCATTTTTCTGCAATTCTCTTTCCTCATTTCTGTTGGAATTCTAGTTCGAATCTCAGTCACTCCAATTTAGATTCATCTGCATCACTATACTCAGTTTCCACCTCCAGATATTTTGCAACTTATTTTGTAGCTCATTTTGGGCAGAAACATATCGCTGAGTGCCTAATTACCCATTTTAGTACTTCCAGGGACAACACTTCCATCTTATTTATCTTATTCTGTTCAACAAAACCTTTAGCATTCATAATAGACGTTGTGGCTCTTGTGCTACACTGGTAGTGTCTCCAACTCTGAACCAGGAGGCCAAGATTCAAGTCCAACCTGCTCTAGAGGCCTGTCAACATCTCAGAACAGGTTAGAGTGATAGAATCATACAGCATGGAAACAGACACTTTGGTCCAACCAAACCATAACAACCATAATCCCAAACTAAACTAGTCCCACCTGCCTGCACTTGGCCCATATCCCTCCAAACATTTCATGTTCACGTGCTTGTCTGAATGTCTTTTAAACACTGTAACTGTGCCCGTATCAACCACTTCCTCTGGAAATTCATTCCACACACGAATGACTCTCTGCATTAAAAAAAATTGCCCCTCATGTCTTCTTTAAATCTTTCTCCTCTCACCTTAAAAAATATGCTCCCTAGTCTTGAAATCCCCCATCCTGGGAAAAGACACCTGCCATTCACCTCATCTGTATCCCTCATGATTTTATAAACCTCGATAAAGTCACCCCTCAATCTCTTACGTTCCAGTGAAAAAAGTCTCAGTTTATCCAGCCTCTCCTCATAACTCAAACCCTCCATTCCCGGCAACATTCTGGTAAATCTCCTGTGAACCCACTCCAGCTTAATAATATCTCTCCTATAACAGGGTGACCGGAATTGGACACAGCACTCCAGAACAGGTCTTACCAACGTCCTGTACAACCTCAACATAACATCGGAACGCGTATATTCAAAGGTCTGAACAATGAAGGCAAGCATGCTAAAGGCCTTCTCGACCACCCTATCTATATGTGATGCAAACTTCAAAGAATTATGAATCTGATTAGAAAATATTAAACATAGAAATTTTAGCATTTTAATATTACAGAAGCAAGAAAATGTTTTTACGTTTTTTAAAGGCAGCTTTTGAAGGAAGAATTTATTATCATCCACTCCAATTATGTCATTTGCCTGTGGGAATGTACTACCAGCTGTACCCCCAAATTTATCAAAACCTGGTGACGGTTGAACTGGCTCTCCTCTTCAACCCTACCTCATTCAGTTACAATAGATGTTTTAATTTATTTTAGGCACACACCCTTCACATTAATTAAAACAGAGTACTAATGAAAATTGAGGAGGCGATTAATAAGGTTTACTTGACTGAAAGAAAGTTGAATTTTATCATTTACTAACTCCAAGAAAAGTGATTATGTGCAACATCAAACGCACAGTTATAGCGATTAATAAAGGTGAGAGACAACCTGACACAGAAGAGGAAGAATAAAGGTTATGCAGTTTAAAAGTCCTTAGAGCCTTGGAGGTGTTTGATTTTGACCGAAGACCATAATTATTAAATTGATAATTGGGATCCCCACAATGGTGAAATTTGTAATCATCCTTGAGATTTTTGTGAAAGATGTATCTCTGGTATGCATCTTCACT